TTTTTTTTTAACAAAGATATTTTGATAAATATGCTTTAGGTTCTGCTTCAATGTCTGGTTTTATGGTTTTTGATTTTTTTCCCTAAAATTTGGCTTATTTAGACCATGGTATCCTGGAATCTAATCTTAAAAGTTTTTCCATTAAGCATTTTTCAAATTATCTGATAATTATTTTCATCACAATATGGTTTGCAATCTATTGTTAACCATAACTTATTTAACCAACCTCCCATTGCTTGACATTTACAGTATATACAAATTGTTTTTAAAAATTCTTGAAATACAAAACCTTTTCTTGATTCATTACATTTTGGCTATTCCTTAATAAAAAGAAGTGAATACTCTAACCAGATCTAAGTGAATTTTTAAAAACAGTGTCTGTTTGTGTAAATCTTCAAGTGTAGTGTTAAACAATTTACTTCTGATGTGTTCCTAGATCAGAACTACCCTATGGAGAGTCCAAATTTGGTGTTTTTGCAATCTTCCTTTGCAGAAAGTTAGCTCGAGTAATTCATAAGCAGTACTACTTTCTCTGGACAGAATAAACTAATTTTTCTAACTTAATTTGTTTATATGTTTAATTATTTTAAAAGTCAAGAAACTGAAGCCACAATATTCAACACTTAGTTGACTAAATGGGAGGAATTCCTGGAGGTGTTCATTTAGAAAATGTGGATTTTAAGATACGCAAGTAAGGGCACTCCCTCTATAGCGTTTCCTGAAATCTATGACAACATTGATTGTGAAAAATGCCATTATTTTATGTATCACTGAGAAAGACCACGCTGGACGTGGTGGCTCACGCCTGTAATCCCAGCACTTTGGAAGGCTGAGGCGGGCTCACAAGGTCATGAGATCGAGACCATCCTGGCCAGCATTGTGAAACCCTGTCTCTATTAAAAATACAAAAATTAGCTGGGTGTGGTGGCATGCGCCTATAGTCCCAGTTTCTTAGGAGGCTGAGGCAGGAGAATTGCCTGACCCCGGGAGGCAGAGGTTGCAGTGAGCTGAGACTGTGCCATTGCACTCTAGCCTGGTGACAGAGCAAGACTCCATCTCAAAAAAAAACAAAGACCAAACATTGCCAATTAAATGATAATATGCCATCAGTTGTAAAAAAAAAGTGAAAAAATATGTCTTAAACATGATAAAAATAAATGATGTTAACATGCTGAAATCCTAATATTAGTAAGAATGTGAAGATTGACATCAACAATGCAACCTTCCTACCTGCACATAGATTTCTCTATTCAATGAGTTTGATTCAGTAGCTCATTAACTGACTGTAGACTCACTGTTTCTCCTGTCTCTTCCAGGTGTGGGGAGGATGTCAGGCAGGACCAGCAGCAGCTCCTGGAGGGGATCTCAGAGCTCGACATCAGGACAGGGGGAGTCCCCTCACAGCTGCTGGTGCATGGAGCCCTGGCCTTCCCTCTGGGGCTGGATGCCTCACTCAACTGCTTCCTGGCAGCTGCTCGCTATGGCCGGGGCCGTGTGGTCCTGGCTGCCCACGAGTGCCTGCTGTGTGCTCCCAAGATGGGGTCCTTCTTGCTCAATGCGGTGCGCTGGCTGGCCAGAGGCCAGACAGGCAAAGTTGGGGTGAACACAAATCTAAAAGATCTGTGTCCCCTCCTATCGGAACATGGCCTGCAATGCAGCCTGGAGCCCCATCTGAACAGCAACTTGTGTGTCTACTGCTGCAAGGCGTACAGTGACAAGGAGGCTAAGCAGCTGCAGGAGTTTGTGGCTGAGGGTGGGGGGCTGCTGATTGGAGGCCAGGCCTGGTGGTGGGCCTCCCAGAACCCTGGCCACTGCCCCTTGGCTGGTTTCCCTGGTAACGTCATCCTCAACTGCTTTGGCCTCAGCATCCTGCCTCAGACTCTCAAAGCAGGCTGTTTCCCCGTTCCCACCCTTGAGATGAGAAGCTACCACTTCCGCAAGGCGCTCTCTGAATTCCAGGCTATCCTGAACCATGAGAATGGGAACTTGGAAAAGAGCTGTCTGGCAAAGTTGAGAGTTGATGGTGCAGCCTTCCTACAGATTCCTGCAGAGGGGATCCCTGCTTACATATCCCTGCACAGGCTCCTGAGGAAGATGCTACGAGGGTCAGGCCTCCCAGCTGTGAGCCGGGAAAATCCAGTTGCCAGTGACTCCTATGAGGCTGCCATGCTCTCCCTGGCCACTGGGCTGGCTCACTCTGGAACTGACTGCTCCCAGCTGGCCCAGGGGCTTGGCACCTGGACCTGCTCCTCTAGTTTGTACCCCTCAAAACACCCCATCACTGTGGAGATTGACGGAATCAACCCAGGTATGAAAACAGGAGAGAATGCCCAGAACATTAAAGACATAGGGGAAAGTGGGATTGGCTGACACTACACAGGACATTGCAAGTACTTACCTTCAGGAAGATTGACCCCAATCCTTTTTTTTTTTTTTTTTTTTGAGACAGAGTCTCACTCTGTCACCCAGGCTGGAGTGCAGTGGCGCGATCTCGGAAGCAATTCTCCTCTCTCAGCCTCCTGAGTCGCTGGGACTACAGGCACACGCCACCAGGCCCGTCTAATTTTTGTACTTTTAGTAGAGATGGGGTTTCATAAGCAGTAAGAGAAATAGCATAAATGCATAATGGTAAGGCTGGTCTGGAATTCCTGACCTCAGGTGATCCACCTGCCTCGGCCTCCCAAAGTGCTGGGATTACAGGCATGAGCCACTGGGCCTGGCAGACTGCATTCTTTATCAGGTACTTTCAAGAAGATGGGGGCTGGGACTCTGCTTAAGGTTTAGGAGGGATGAGTCTAAGGAGAAGTGCGGATGACTTGAGATACACAGGGGAGAAGCTGTGCCACTGGGAGAGGCTGGGAGGCCCCAAGTGGAGATAGAGTCACATGGGAAGGAAGAACTGAGCCTTCTCTATGACTTTTGTCAGGCAACAGTGATTGCTGGGTAAGTACCGGGCTCTACCTCCTGGAAGGACAAAATGCAGAAGTTTCACTGTCTGAAGTTGCCGCCTCTGCTGGCCTCCGGGTAAGGTCTGAACACCCACATCTGCCGCCCCTCAAAACCCGAGAGCTGTGCCATTCTCATCCACTGTCTAGCTCCAGCTCATGGCAATGCTGCCAGGAGCACAGAGGTGGATTATTCTGCCCATTTTACAGATTTTACAGGTGAAGCAGCTAAATTTTAGGCCATCTAAGTGAGTGACTGAAGCGCCTAGTATTATCAAGCCAAAGAAGCTCACTGCAGAATGGACTAGAAGCCAAAACTGTGACACTTGAATGTTTCATTTAAAAAAAAAAGCATTTTATTGCAATTGGACTAACAAGGAGACAGAAGCCCAGCTCAAATCTGTCCCATTGTACTTAAAGAGTTACTTTATTAGAAAAGGTTTAGGGAGTGGATGATGTGATCAGTAGGTGACTGACAGAAGGAAAAGGAAGGGCTGGGAATCCTCGGGCATGGGCAGTTGCCTCTTCATGCCTCCTCATGGGTCCCATGTGCAAATTCAGAGGGAGTTAGTATGAAACATGCGGTAGAAATTTGGACTGGGTGTCAGCAAGCTCATTCTGCACAAACTCCGGTTTTATCTCTTTATCTTGACATCTGAAGGGTGTGAAAATCCCATCACTCCCCAAAATATGCCCTACATGCAGAATTTAAATTCATTCAGCCTCCTTGACTCTGAGGGCCACTTCCTACCACAGCTAGGGCCTCTTTTCTCTCAGCATTCTTTCTGGAGCTTGCTTATATCAAACCTAAGAAAAGCAACTCCAGGACTCCAGACAAAACAGATCTCCACCCATCTGGCCGCCAGAGAGGGAAGCTCTGGACAAAGAGGGAGAGAGAATCAACCTCATTCACTCTGGATGGGCCTCCTGTGTGTTCACAGAGGACAGAGCACAGTCCCCCAGCTCATCCCCAACATCAGCGTCACCAGACTGGCTTAGGTCCTGTTAGAAGAGCCCAGGATTTTGCCTGGCAGAAAGACAGAAGACCTTTGCCAGGATTAGCCTGGTCTCTCACCAATTCATGTCAGGTGAAGATTTATGGTGGAGCTGTTTAAATCCTTGGAAAAATGATTTTACATGCTTTGAAGTCCAGATGACTTTGGACTGCTAAAATTGATAAGTTTCCATGCCTAGCACATAGATAAGGGAAGCTGGGGTTTCATGGGCGTGTTTGTCTAATATCTTCCATCTAAACAACCTCACACGCACATCACAAGGATTCTAATTCCTCCATCACTTGGTGGAATCACCTGTCCAGGTACAGATTGGCTGCCACACCGATGACCTAACCAAGGCCAGGAAGCTATCTCGAGCCCCCGTGGTGACTCATCAATGCTGTATGGACAGGACTGAACGGTCAGTCTCCTGCCTCTGGGGTGGCCTCCTCTACGTCATCGTGCCCAAGGGCAGCCAACTAGGCCCTGTGTCTGTCACTATCAGGGGGGCTGTGCCTGCCCCATACTACAAGCTGGGTAAGTGGAATGAACATCTAGGGAGGAGAAAGAGCGGCAGATGCCATGGAAACTGTGGGATGGTTGCTAAATGGGAGAGAAATAAGGTTTGGTGGAGAGAAAGAGGAAGAACTGTTGGGGGTAGAACGTGGAGGCAGGAGATATGGAATACCCTGTGTCTATGGATACTCCCGAGCAGACAAAGACAAGAGTCAGGAAGCGTTTTCTTCACTTTATAGCCTATAGACCCCTGTGATAGGAGTTCATTATTGCAATGTTCTTCCAGAGTTCAGGTGGTATTTTTCAGCTCAAAGGAAGTTGGGGAACTGGGTGTGGTAGATTCCATGATATTTATTCCCAGGTAAGACATCACTAGAAGAGTGGAAGAGGCAGATGCAGGAGGACCCAGCTCCCTGGGGAGAACTGGCCACGGACAACATCATCCTGACAGTGCCAACCACAAACCTCCAGGCCCTGAAGGACCCCGAGCCTGTGCTCCGCCTCTGGGATGAGATGATGGAGGCTGTGGCCAGGCTGGCGGCTGAACCCTTCCCTCTCCGCCGTCCCGAGAGGATTGTGGCTGATGTGCAGATCTCAGCTGGTGGGTGCTCCCAGGGAATCCTCCTAGTCAGTGGAAACCATGTATCTATTACTTTGCCTTTTATGAACGTCCAAGATGTGTAAGCATAATTTTATTAGTAAAGCAAGGGAAAAAGATATAAAAGACATTGACCACAATGGGGATGAAAGAATGTTTACATGTGAAAAAAAACAAATTATTGATATCTACAAGGTGAGATTTCACCAGATGGTAGAACAATCTCAGAAAAAGTTGTACTGCGAATTCATAGATGGCAACCAGAGTCATTTCAAGGACAGCATAGAAAATCAACTATTTTCTTCAAACATAAGCCGAGTTGGAAATGAAAAGAGGAAATACATAAGGAGGTTTATGGTAAGTACTGAGTGATTAAAAAGAAGGAGGTGCATAGGAAGAGAAATAAGGAACTCCGGATCCCACATGGGGAAAGTTCATACCTCAAATTTCATAGCTTCAAATAAGGACAAAAATTACCTCTATCATAGAGTGTAAATTTGGACAAAAGTAGTATACATGGGGAAGAAAGAATGACACTGTTCTAGCCCTCAAGGATCTCAGATCCAGTCATCGGACATCATATATCAGACTGACATGTAAAGGACACTCACACACACAAAATGAAGGTGTCGAATTACAGCAAGAATGACTATGTAAAGTGTAACCGTATTCTCTGGGGCCAGAGTGAGGAGGAGGCCACAACTCAGGTGTGAGAGGCTAAGAAGGAGATTAGGTACTATTCAGTTTCTGACCAAGTAGGAGAAAGCTATTTGCTTTCCAATCAGCACAGAGATTCTGCAATTACTGGGGATAACCAGGATGGTGAAGAAAAGTCCCATAATGGAGAAGAATGAAGGAGACAGTTTGGGCAGACCCTCCTCAATGCTCATCTCTTCCTTCTGTGTTCCCAGGCTGGATGCATTCAGGATACCCCATCATGTGCCACCTGGAGTCTGTGAAGGAGATCATCAACGAGATGGACATGAGGAGCAGAGGTGTGTGGGGCCCCATCCATGAGCTGGGCCACAACCAACAGCGGCATGGATGGGAGTTCCCCCCGCACACTACTGAGGCCACCTGCAACCTTTGGTCAGTCTACGTGCATGAAACAGTCCTAGGGATCCCCAGGGCTCAGGCCCATGAGGCTCTGAGCCCTCCAGAGCGAGAGAAGAGAATCAAGGCCCACCTGGGAAAGGGAGCCCCTCTGTGTGGCTGGAATGTGTGGACAGCCCTGGAAACATATCTACAGGTACTGAGCAGAAATTCTGGGAGAAGGGGATGACCAGACCCTTCAGTTATGTAGCGACCTGGATCTCAGTAGCTCTCCAGCTCCTTCACCACCCCACTAGGTCCAGGGACCACCACCTCCCCCGGAAATGAGAGGGACTGGGCCGCATGGTGGTGCTTCTTGAGTTATACCCCTCTAAGGCAGAGAGAATAGCACCTGTCTCACTCACCTTCTGATTTTGAGATGTACGAGGAAATGAAAAATATTATGAAAAAATAGAAATATAGCATAAGTTAAAGAATTTAAGCAACCTGTCCAGTATCCCCCATTTAAGTGAAGGACCTAGAACTTAAAATCAGGACCTAATGACAAGCCCCAGGCTTTTGCATTGCCATGCCCTTTCTTAGTTTTTTGTGCCTTTCACTAATTTTGTGAAGAGTGAATGTGAGACAGTCCCAGTTAATGAGGTAACTTTGTACTGCATTCATTTCCATATCCTTAGATAGCCAGTCTGGGGGTATATAGGACCACTGACCACAATGGTAGGTTGACCCTAAACTGTAAATTTAAGCCCTGATTCTGTCCTATTCTGCTACCGACTCGCTGTGGAGCCCTGAATATCATTTCTCAATAGCTCTAGAGAGACCAAGTCTGGGACTTGGCCTCAAGACAAACAGGCACCTTCTGACTCCTCTTCCCACTAGAGGGCTTCTCCCCAGCATCCGTGCTGCTGCTGCCTTAGCTCAGGCCTCGTTAGTCTTCCCTCAGTGTATTCCAGTAGCCTTCTAAATTGTCCTAGCATCTTGCCTCAATCCTCTATGATTCATCTTCCTTACACTCCTTCCAAAATAATGTGAATACTCTGTCTATAAAATGCTTACAGTGTTCTCTAGCACATATAGGGAAAAGTCAAAGCTCATTAGCAGGGCATAGGAGGCCCTTCATGACCAGCCCCACCAGTGCCTCTAGCTACATTTCCTGCTGTCACCTCCACATTTACCCTCCGGCATGCCAACCTGCTTATGCTTACAGACACATCTTGCTGTTTTGGCTTCTGTGCCTCCCCTTGTTTGCTTCCTGCTGCTGAATCATGCTGGAACATCTTGTCCATTAGCTGTCAAGTCACTTGTCCAAATTCAGCTCTGTTGTCCCCTTCTCTCCTGGACATCACCTCCTTGATAAACCAACATTTTTAATAATGTGTTTATTTACATGTGTTTCTCCCTTTGGCCAGTGTTTTCTAGAAGGACAAGAGCTCTTAATCATGTTTGCCTAGCACAGTAGCTGGCAGGGTCTGGATGTCTAATACATGTTATATGTTTATTAAATGCTTAATTTATTGACGTATTCATTAATAAGTGTCAAAGAGCAAGCCAGTAAAGAACAGATGAGCAATAATGAGGGTACAGCAGTGAGACTCTGAGGGAGGCTTGACTTCGATAGTGTTATCTATCCTTGGGCTTTTACAAGCTAGAGTCAGAGAATGCTCATCTATTAAAGGGAGAGTAGAGATGGAAACCCCAGACCCCTGCTAACTAGAAATTTGTATAATCTTAGTGAACAGGGGCCTTCTGCCAAGGGCTTTCTGGAGGGCTGCCCCTTAAGAAGTATGAGCCACTCTCATTTGTAGCCCCTCAAGACAGGCTGGAGTATTTTCTTTTTCTGCCCTAAATGCAGTGTTCTACAGAGCAATTTTGTATCATTGCAGATACTCACAGGTCCGAGACGGTTATCTAAAAAATAAGGATTAGTATCATACCTGGAAAGTATAGTATTCGAGGTTTGCAGCCTTTTAGAATCTCAATAGGCCAAATATGTAGGAAGTGAGGGTTTCTCATCTCAGTAAGGTCCAAACCTGTCCTGATGCTGAGGAAAATACTTGAGATCTGGGAAGACAATTTTTTAAATTAAAGATACTAATAGTGGACATTTATTGAGTGTTTACCTCTATTCAGACATTAGGTTTCCCCTGAGCACCCCCCACTAGATTCAGGGGGTGATGTTTTGTGGCTGAGAGGTGGAATGAGCAATGAAACTGCATTATTGTGCAGGGGTAGAGTGGGGAGATAGGGACACATACCCAGGATGAAGGTAACAATTGAGGGGAGGTGATCATGTGAATGAAATATATTTAAGAACGCACATGTCGCATCACTTTTGCAAACTTGACACCTCATTCTGTTCCTTCTTTCCCTTTTCAGCTCCAGGAGGCCTTCGGGTGGGAGCCATTCACCCAGCTCTTTGCTGAGTACCAGACCCTCTCTCATCTCCCCAAAGGCAACACTGGCAGGATGAACCTATGGGTAAAGAAGTTCTCTGAAAAAGTGAAGAAGAACCTGGTTCCCTTCTTTGAGGCCTGGGGCTGGCCTGTCCAGAAGGAGGTGGCTGACAGCCTGGCCTCCCTACCAGAGTGGCAGGAAAACCCCATGCAAGTATACCTCCGTGCCAAGGAGTGAAGGATGCCCCGCAAGGCGGGAGAGAAAAAGCAGGGTCACGCCGGCAACTCCACCACGAGGCTTTGGCCGTGTGTGCTCAGTATTTGAGCCTGGATCCCACTTCCAAGCCTGACCACTAGATGGTGGCCAAGGTCATAAGAAAAAATGGAACCCCTTTCTGAAAAAGGTGCCTTGTGCTTCTTTTTATTGTTTTTCTGCTTACACTATTGCTTTCCCCAAGAGACTCACCTCACCTCTTAGTCTCCCAGAGAGGATCTTTCATCCTGCCATCCTGAGGCTTCTATTTTTGACCAATAGCTCTAAAGACCATGGGTTCCCATAACAACTTGATATCTCTTTCTCATCCCTGCCGTCCCTGAACAAGGCTTCTAATTTATTATGCTTTAAGAAGTTTTCGTATAGCAAGCGAGACACACTGGAATAGTGGAGAGAGCCCTAAACCAGCTTTGGTTCTATGGAAAATCACTTCACCTCTCTGTGTTTCTGTCTCACATCCATGACATGAGCATACAAATCTTTTCCTCGCACAGCTGTTGTTTGATAATGGTGAACATGTTTGTGCACCACCACATGCAGAGACATTACGTGTCTATAAGGGTATTCCTGAGATTTCTCCTGGTCCCACAGTGGACTGTTACAGTGTTCAGTCTAGCGTGCACATCCTGGGCACTGAATCTGTCTTCAGTGTTGACCCCTTGGCGTTAGCATTCAGTCCTTGTATATTTAGAGAATATCAGTGTTTTCCCAGACATGATAATAATGGTAGTTGTCAGCAGTATCCTAGCCCTTTCTCTATTTATTCTCCCACTTCTGGAATGATTCTCGGGTATAACCTAACCCAAAGAAAAATGCCATGTGCTCAAACTGAGGGCTGTGAGGTTGGGTCTTTGGGGTTAGCTCCATCTTCCAGGGTTTGCCCTTTGCCCTTCAACCAAAGGACAAAGTCATGTTAACAGCTGCTACTAAGTCTACATGCCTATTCGTTCATACCACAAAACAGGCATCTGTCACCATGGAATCAAGGCACTTGATGGGGGTGGGGGCTCCACAGGCACAGTGGGCTTCACTCTGGAACAGGATTACTAGGTGCAGCAGACGCAATCCTCACTTCATCAACCCACACCCCAGCACCCTGAACTTTCTCTTAATCTCATTCTAGCCCATCGTGACTCTTCAGTTAGGAAGGGTTCTCTCTGGAGATTTGTCTCTGGGATTAATGGGTGTATGCCTAGCTACTTTCTCCAGTTTACTTTTAGACCATATTATTGTTTGTTTTGAATATCATTCTTTAGGCTTTGTGGAGAGTAGATTGACTTCCCACGAGGAGAACTAATTTAGGGCATGTCTTTTCCTGAATCCCGTCAGTCTATCCTTCCCAATTCTAGATAATTTCTTTTTATTTCTCTAGTACCCTTTGCCAGGGGCTTTACACATGAAAGGTGTTCATGAAACGTTTGTCAAAGGGAAGAACAGTAATGACACGTAACACATAATGAGTGATTAGTATGTTCCAGGCATTATGTGAGCTATTTACTGTGAGTGATTTCATGTTATCTTCCCAGCAGACCTCTGAGGTAGGTACTGGTGTCATCCCCATTTCATAGATGAGGAAACTGACGCTAAGGGACATAAAATAAGTTTTTTGAAGTCACGAAGTGAATAAGAGGCAGAGCCAGGGCTTAATTGAAGTCATAGCAGTGAGAACATTGTGGAACTTATTCTTCATGAATGGTTTACAATTTAAACAAAATGTCACCTAGAAAATAGATGAAAATATGTTCAACAGAGTCTGGATTTTTCCAATGTTTACTACTGAATTTTCAATCAGTAACAGATTGAACTTCCAAAAAGGTGTTGGTATCTGATTTTCTGCCTGCCTCAGAATGTGATTTGTCTGCCTTTGGGTAATCCAGTCTTGGGTAGAGAAGGAATTTGAAACCAGGAAATTCAACTCCAGAACTGGTGTTCTTTCCCGCCCCCGCTCCTTTAAGTTCTGGGATACGTGTGCAGAACGTGCAGGTTTGTTACATAGGTATACATGTGCCATGGTGGTTTGCTGCACCCATCAACCCGTCATCTAAGTTTTAAGCTCTGCATGCATCAGGTATTTGTCCTAATGCTCTCCCTCCCATTGCCCCCAACCTCCCGACAGGCCCCAGTGTGATGTTTCCCTCCCTGTGTCCATGTGTTCTCATTTTTCATCTCCCACTTATGAGTGAGAATATGTGGTATTTGCTTTTCTGTTCCTGTGTTTGTTTGCTGAGATTTATGGCTTCCATCTTCATCCATGTCCCTGCAAAGGACATTAACTCATTCTTTTTCATGGCTGCATAGTATTCAATTGTATATATGTGCCATATTTTCTTTATCCAGTCTATCATTGGTGGGCATTTGGGTTGGTTCCAAGTCTTTGCTTTTGTAAATAATGCTGCAATAAACGTATGTGTGCATCTGTCTTTATAGTAGAATGGTTTATAGTCCTTTGGGTATATACCCAGTAATGGGATTGCTGTGTCAGATGGTATTTCCTGTTCTAGATCCTTGAGGAATCACCACATTGTCTTCCACAATGATTGAACTAATTTACACTCCCAACAACAATGTAAAAGCATTCCTGTTTCTCCACAGCCTCACCAACATCTGTTGTTTCCTGACTTTTTAATAATCGCCATTCTAACTGACATAACTGGCATGAGATGGTACCTCATTGTGGTTTTGGTTTACATTTCCCTAGTGACCAGTGATGATGAGCTTTTTTCACATGTTTCTTGGCCGCATAAATGTCTTCTTTTCAGAAGTGTCTTTTCATATCCTTCACCCACTTTTTTTTGTTTTTTCTTGTAAATTTGTTTAAGTTCCTTGCAGATTCTGGATATTAGACCTTGTCAGATGGGTAGCTTTCTAAAATTTTCTCCTATTCTGTAGGTTGCAGAACTGGTGTTCTTTTGATGTTAGGGTAAAATGATGGATATCACTGGGTTTAATAGATTGCCTAGAGACAGAGACAATGTCTGGCTTCTCCCACGCATACACACATTCCTGGTAGAAGCTGGAGTCTGTAGCTCCTTGTCTCTCATACGGAGAGACTGTGACTTCACCTCTTATTTTAAAGTTATAGTTAATTGTAACTGCAATACTCTCAGATCATTTTGTCTATTCACAGAAACTAATTTGCTGCCAGTGATAGGGATAATCCATGATTTCTGAGACATCTACTTCCATAATTTCACAGTTCTAAGTCTAGAAAAATTATTAGAAGAAAATTATTGGGTGGTCTTGGAACCAACCCAAAGAAAAATCATGTCCT